AATTTAAGAATTAATTGATATTTATTCCGATAGATGGCGCAAATTTAGTTTTAGTTGCACGACCATGTCTTTAACTTTAATTTGAACACCTGATCCCAGTACAATTGGCTTTATACTATTTTAAACACAGATTTATATGCAAAAAGGAATAAAATACTTTCCCCCAGCAAATAAGTAATAAGAACTAATGAGCTAAAAGTGAAAAGTTTGAAATCTTGTAAATGGTACTCCTTTCGGAAACAGTTACCGACATATTTCTCTGAGTATATATTTTAATGATTATTATTCCTCATATCTCTAATACACTCATGGACAAATGGAGGTTGTACCTTTTAGCATGTATATCGGGTCAATAACTCTGAAAGATATTACAGTGACCTTTAATGGAGACACACCAGATAACCAATATACACTCATGGACAAATGGAGGTTGTACCTTTTAGCATGTATATCGGGACAATAACTCTGAAAGATATTACAGTGACCTTTATTGAAGACACACGAGATAACCAATATAAACTCATGGACAAATGGAGGTTGTACCTTTTAGCATGTATATCGGGACAATAACTCTGAAAGATATTACAGTGACCTTTATTGAAGACACACGAGATAACCAATATACACTCATGGACAAATGGAGGTTGTACCTTTTTGCATGTATATCGGGACAATAACTCTGAAAGATATTACAGTGACCTTTATTGAAGACACACGAGATAACCAATATACACTCATGGACAAATGAAGGTTGTACCTTTTAGCATGTATATCGGGACAATAACTCTGAAAGATATTACAGTGACCTTTATTGAAGACACACGAGATAACCAATATACACTCATGGACAAATGAAGGTTGTACCTTTTAGCATGTATATCGGGACAATAACTCTGAGAGATATTACAGTGACCTTTAATGGAGACACACCAGATAACCAATATACACTCATGGACAAATGGAGGTTGTACCTTTTAGCATGTATATCGGGACAATAACTCTGAAAGATATTACAGTGACCTTTATTGAAGACACACGAGATAACCAATATACACTCATGGACAAATGAAGGTTGTACCTTTTAGCATGTATATCGGGACAATAACTCTGAAAGATATTACAGTGACCTTTATTGAAGACACACGAGATAACCAATATACACTCATGGACAAATGGAGGTTGTACCTTTTAGCATGTATATCGGGACAATAACTCTGAAAGATATTACAGTGACCTTTATTGAAGACACACGAGATAACCAATATACACTCATGGACAAATGGAGGTTGTACCTTTTAGCATGTATATCGGGACAATAACTCTGAAAGATATTACAGTGACCTTTAATGGAGACACACCAGATAACCAATATACACTCATGGACAAAACTTAAGGAAGTTGTATCTTTTAGCATTTATATCGGGAATGAGACAATAACTCTGAAAGATATTACAGTGATCCTTATTGAAGACACACGAGATAACCAATATACACCCATGGAAAAAACCTTGGGAAGGTGTACCTTTTAGCATGTATATCGGGATTGAGACAATAACTCTGAAAGATATTACAGTGACCTTTATTGAAGACACACGAGATAACCAATATACACTCATGGACAAAACTTAAGGAAGTTGTACCTTTTAGCATGTATATCGGGATTTAGACAATAACTCTGAAAGATATTACAGTGACCTTTATTGAAGACACACGAGATAACCAATATACACTCATGGACAAAACTTAAGGAAGTTGTACCTTTTAGCATGTATATCGGGATTGAGACAATAACTCTGAAAGATATTACAGTGACCTTTATTGAAGACACACGAGATAACCAATATACACTCATGGACAAAACTTAAGGAAGTTGTACCTTATAGCATGCATATCGGGATTGAGACAATAACTCTGAAAGATATTACAGTGACCTTTAATGAAGACACACGAGATAACCAATATACACTCATGGACAAAACTTAAGGAAGTTGTACCTTTTAGCATGTATATCGGGATTGAGACAAAAACTCTGAAAGATATTACAGTGACCTTTATTGAAGACACACGAGATAACCTATATACACTCATGGACAAAACTTAAGGAAGTTGTACCTTTTAGCATGTATATCGGGATTGAGACAATAACTCTGAAAGATATTACAGTGACCTTTATTGAAGACACACGAGATAACCAATATACACTCATGGACAACACTTAAGGAAGTTGTACCTTTTAGCATGTATATCGGGATTGAGACAATAACTCTGAAAGATATTACAGTGACCTTTATTGAAGACACATGAGATAACCAATATACACTCATAGACAATACTTAAGGAAGTTGTACCTTTTAGCATGTATATCGGGACAATAACTCTGAAAGATATTACAGTGACCTTTAATGGAGACACACCAGATAACCAATATACACTCATGGACAAAACTTAAGGAAGTTGTATCTTTTAGCATTTATATCGGGAATGAGACAATAACTCTGAAAGATATTACAGTGATCCTTATTGAAGACACACGAGATAACCAATATACACCCATGGAAAAAACCTTTGGAAGGTGTACCTTTTAGCATGTATATCGGGATTGAGACAATAACTCTGAAAGATATTACAGTGACCTTTATTGAAGACACACGAGATAACCAATATACACTCATGGACAAAACTTAAGGAAGTTGTACCTTTTAGCATGTATATCGGGATTTAGACAATAACTCTGAAAGATATTACAGTGACCTTTATTGAAGACACACGAGATAACCAATATACACTCATGGACAAAACTTAAGGAAGTTGTACCTTTTAGCATGTATATCGGGATTGAGACAATAACTCTGAAAGATATTACAGTGACCTTTATTGAAGACACACGAGATAACCAATATACACTCATGGACAAAACTTAAGGAAGTTGTACCTTATAGCATGCATATCGGGATTGAGACAATAACTCTGAAAGATATTACAGTGACCTTTAATGAAGACACACGAGATAACCAATATACACTCATGGACAAAACTTAAGGAAGTTGTACCTTTTAGCATGTATATCGGGATTGAGACAAAAACTCTGAAAGATATTACAGTGACCTTTATTGAAGACACACGAGATAACCTATATACACTCATGGACAAAACTTAAGGAAGTTGTACCTTTTAGCATGTATATCGGGATTGAGACAATAACTCTGAAAGATATTACAGTGACCTTTATTGAAGACACACGAGATAACCAATATACACCCATGGAAAAAACCTAAGGAAGGTGTACCTTTTAGCATGTATATCGGGATTGAGACAATAACTCTGAAAGATATTACAGTTATCTTCATTGAAGACACACGAGATAACCAATATACACTCATGGACAAAACTTAAGGAAGTTGTACCTTTTAGCATGTGTATCGGGACAGTGACCTTTATTGAAGACACACGAGATAACCAATATACACTCATGGACAAAACTTAAGGAAGTTGTACCTTTTAGCATATATATCGGGATTGAGACAATAACTCTGAAAGATATTACATTGACCTTTTTTGAAGACACACGAGTTAACTAAGTATATAGATAGATATCAGACAAAAAATTCCCAGTTAAACAAGAATGAAATATACTGCTAACATACACACACTAAGTAATATACGTAAAAAAACACCATCTTTGATATAATTAAGAAAAAATACGCTAAAACAAAAAAGAAAGGAGGACAAGAAGGGATTAAGAAGAGCTGGAAAAATCCCAAGAAAAATATGAGAAAAGTCGAAGGAGGGGAAAAAAAACCTTGTTAATCTTGGGGCTTAAGACATGGGTTGTACCCAAGGAATGCTTTGACGGATCACATGTAATTTCAACATCGCTGCAGTCACCTTCTCTATTTTGACATGGGAAGTTTCTGATGGACATTGTAGTCTCCCTTTACTGATAACCCAAACGTTACGTTAATGATAAAATTGTTACAAAAAAATTAAAATTACAAACATATTTTCTCACAAAGAGTTACTTTTTATTACAAATTGTTAGCTTTCAAGTGATAATCTCTCTTCAACGGGCTTAATAAAACATCGACTATATCTTACAAGAAATATTTACAAATACATACAGCGTGGATATTTATAACTGAAATATTAAAATTGATATGTAATTTAACAATGTTATGGAATATGTCTATTTATATATAAAATGAAAGGATTTAAAAGCACTAATGTTTCTTTTATACATAATACAAACTTCTACTGCCCTTACTGCGATGAAAAAATATATTGTAACAAGGTGTTTATTAATTTTATTATTTTCATTAACAGAGTGTTCATTTTTATGTTTATATTTTGTTACTCTGTACACTTCCCTCATTGCTTATCTTTTGTTCACCATTCATAGTTTGTTCTTGTCTTAAATAAATTTCTGTCTCTTCCTGAAGTTTGTCTTCCCTAATTTTCCACGTGGCAATATATTGGGAGGGCTTGGCTTATCAGTGGTGAACCCTCCCAGCGGTTTCGCCAATTTAATCTACCAGACCGTTTCTCAATGCTCTTATACTGTATTGGACGATTCTGCTTATAAACGCAGCACTGAAGGATGGAATCTTAGAAATGGTATTCAAGAAAACTATGGACATAAGCTAATAGGACAGTAGAATTATATTTAAATATTTGCATCGAGTAATGCTCTTCCGCAAACAATAAAAACACGGTCAGTTAGACATATATTAACACAAAGCAATAATGCCCCATCTATATATATAAATATTTGAATATATTCTACTGTCATATAAGCTTATAAAGCTATACAACCAGTTTTACCGCATAAGTTTCTTTTTATTTATGAAAATCATTTTTAATTTCAAAGAGAAATAATTTAATATTTCTAACTTTTGGATGACGTATGAAAAGGTTGAATATATGAAGAGTGATGGTCTATATATGAATGGATGACGTATGGAGGGTGAAAATATGAAGAGTAATGGCGAACGGAAAAATAAAAGTGTCCAGGAGCGGGAATCGAACCCACAACCTTCTGCTTACCGGGCAGGTGCCATGTCCTCTAGGCTATCCTGTACGATATTTCTCCGTTCGTAACTAATATTTAAACTGACTAATAATACTCATAAATGACTGCGGCGTATAATCATAAAGCTATATAACCAGTTTTACCGCATACGTTCCTTTTTATTTATGAAAATCATTTTTAATTTCAAAGAGAAATAATTTAATATTTCTAACTTTTGGATGACGTATGAAAAGGTTGAATATATGAAGAGTGATGGTCTATATATGAATGGATGACGTCATCCAAAAGTTAGAAATATTAAATTATTTCTCTTTGAAATTAAAAATGATTTTCATAAATAAAAAGAAACTTATGCGGTAAAACTGGTTGTATAGCTTTATGATTATACGCCGCAGTCATTTATAAGTATTATAAAAGCTTATGTCCATAGTGATCTTGAAAACCATTTCTGAGATTCCACCCTTCAGTGCTGCTTATATAAGCAGAATCGTCCAATACAGTATTAGAGCTCTGAGAAGCGGTCTGGTGAAACCGCTGGAAGGGTTCACCACTGATAAGTCAAGACCTCCCAATATATTTTTCATCGCAGTAAGGACAGTAGAAGTTTGTATTATGTATAAAATAAACATTCGTACTTTTAAATCCTTTCATTTTATATGTATAGATGGCGTGTTATTGCTTTGTGTTAATGTCTATTTACGTTTAGAGGACAATCAGAACCTATAAAATTGATCTATTGATTTCTTCTGAGATATCGGTATTGTGATCTTCCTGTTTATGCTCTCTGGTATATTCATTAGAAATAAGAGATCTTTTTTTTGTTGCTTATCCCCAGTACATGTGGTACAGGCCATGATAATCATGGTGGGTAGAAGTAGGCGACTGATTTTACTGTAAGTACACCACATTTCTACATATGGTACAGGCCATGATAATCCTGGTGGGTAGTTAGCGACTGCTTTTACTGTAAGTACACCACATGTCTACACTCGGCCGTGCGGCCACGCGTCGCGCGAGCTCCTGAGTTCTTCGCCTCTGGCGGGCGAAAATTGTCGCGGATGGCGACATATTTTATAGGGCTTAAAGCCCTTCGAAAGCTGTACAAAAGCCTGTAAGGCACAGCGTTCAAGCCCAAACATGCGCTGAATTATCTGCGAAAGAAGATCTGCAGAGGAAGTTTTCAAATAATCTAAGCGCAAAGCAAAACTATGCAAATCCGCCGACAGGCGTTAAAGATGCAAATCTGGCCGCCGCGCGCGGTGACGTCACGACCGGCTCGGCAGCAGCTACGTTATCTAATGGCGCTGCCCGTGTCCTGGGAAGTTGGGCGGACTCCATCGAGGACCAAGGCCCTGGAGAGGACGACGATTTCACCGTCATCAAGAGTAAGAAAAGGCGCCGCGACTCGCCGGGTTCTCCTGCAGCGGCTGCACCTTCCTCTGGCACCAGAGGCGCAGGGGCCACTCGCCGGCCGCGATCGTCCACGGGTTGGGCACCGCGGGCGGAGGAGGTCAGGACCACTAGGGCGCATATCGCGGAGGCCAGGGCGCGGCAGGCGTCCTCAACAGAAGACCACTGCGTCTATATAGAGCGCAGCCCTGAACTGGAGCCCTACCACTACATGAGGGCCCTTGATAGAATGCTCGGAGGGACCAGGGAGGTCTTCCAGATGACCAAGATGAACGGTCACTTCCTGGTGGGACTGGCCAACAGAGGCCTGGCCGAGCACCTCGTCAACGAGGGCCTCGAGGTGGAGGGAACTCTCCACAGGGCCTGCCCGTTCCGCAAGAGGGCGGAGAGAATTACAGTGGGCAACCTCCCCTTCTTCGTGGGGGATGCAGCCGTCATCAACGCCCTTTCAACTTTCGGGCGAGTAACATCCATCGCCCCCAAGCTGATGAAGGCTGGCCCATATGTCTACAACGACGGCCGCCGAGAGGCGTTCATCATCCTCCGCGAGGGAATGACCATCGAGAGGCTGCCCACCCGCCTCGACATCTCAATCAAGGGCGAGGCCTGGCCCGCATACCTGTCCTCCGGGATTAGGTGTTCCAGGTGCCGTGGCCAAGGACATCGTAGGGCCAACTGCCCCATGCTTGCAGGGCGAACCACCGCTCCAGGACCGGCCACACCAACCTCTCACACCAGCGTCCCGCCAGCGACTGCGCCAAGGCTGCCTCAGCAGCCATCTGCCCAGCCTCCACTTCCAGCGTCCCCCAGTTCAACCATGGAGGTCTCCGACGTGCCTCCCGCGAGCCGAGCTGCGCCCCTTCCACCTGCTGCACGCCAGCCATCACCACCAGCGCCTTCGGCCTTACCTGTGGAGGACGCGCCTCCTGCCCCTCCACCAGTGACCCCTGCTCCGTCCCTGCGAACACCTGGGAGTCGCGAGCCTGCGGCCCCAACACCGGACGTGGAGATGTCCATCGCGGAGGAGACCTCTGCGTCCTCCACGTCATCGGCAAAGAACGCAACAAGAGTCGACCTCGATGCGTTCATCGAGAAGCACCCCAGCGTGTCCTTCGCTGGGACGGACGCCCTTGGTCTTGGGCGGGAGGAGGTCTTAGACCTCCTCTCCTCGAGGACCAAGGCGCAGAGGAAAGGACCCCTCCTGTCGCCTCCGCAGTGCGACGCCCTCGCCGGCCTGATCGGGCAAATCTTAGATCTGAGGCCCGGAGCAGCCAGCAACCTTTACAAAGTCCTCGGACAAGTCAAAGCTGAGCTCAGGACAACACCAGCAGTGCCTCCAACACCCCCACTGCCTGCGCCTCGGCCTGCTGAGACGGCGCCGCCCGCTCCTCAAGGGGAAGAGTCAGCACCAGCTGAAGTGGCATATCCGCCTCCACTGCCAGTCAAGAAGACAGATGAGGCCCGTAAGAAGTGGCTCCTCGACCTGTTCAAGGAATTGAACTATAAGACCTTCCTGGTACCCTTACTTGGTTGGACCAGACCGGAACAAATCATTCATGCGGCTCTGCATTCCGGAGAAGAACGGAATGATATTCTCGGCGCACATCCAAACCAAAGGAGCATCCTTGCAAACTTCTTGGGCTTTGTCATCGAGCGTACCCGAGGCGGTGATCAATCTACTCTCGACCAATTGTAGGAATTTAGGTCGGTCTTGTGACGCTCATTGTAAATAATTGTTAATTTTTTTCCCCCACTGACTTGGGTGTACCATTGACTGAATAGTCAATAAGGGCTGTTTCATTGTCATTGTCACTCGGCCGTGCGGCCACGCGTCGCGCGAGCTCCGGGATTTTTCGCCTCTGGCGAGCGGAGGAATGTCGGTGGAAGCGACGAATTTAGTATGGGCTGGAAGCACTCACCGAGCTGAACACGAGCCTGCAAGGTTCGGCTCCGAAAGTGAAGCCGTTGCGGATTTATCCGCGGAAAACCATTTTCAAGGTGAAAATTCGAAAATGGTTGATGCAAGCGCCAACTATGCAAATCTGCCAATCGACAGAAGCCATGCAAATTTTGCCGCGGCGTGTATCGCTGACGTCACGCCATCAACAAGCGGCGCCTTGGCCGCTGCGACAAACTGGGCCGAGCAAATGGAGGCTGCAGAATCAGGTGAAGATGGCTTCACCGAGATCAAACACAAGCGAAGACGCAGGGAGTCGCCGAGCCGCCCTGTCGAACAGCGCTCCAGCGGCATCGCAATTTACGGAAGGACCGGCGCAACCCCGCGAGGACGGCCACCTGCGGGTAGGGCTACGGAGGTCCAGGTGATCAGGGCTACCCGGGCCGACATCGCTGACGCCAGAGCACGCCAACGTTCTTCAACAGAAGACAACTGCGTCTTCGTGGAACACTGCCCGGACTTCGGGTCCACCCACTACCTGCAGGCGGTGGAAGAGCTGGTCGGAGGAGCCGGGAATGTGCTCCAGGTAATGAAAATGGACGGCCATATGCTGGTGGGCTTGTCCACCAAGGCCCTGGCCGAGCGACTTATAAGGGACGGCCTTGATATTGGGCACACCCACCTCAGGGCCTTCCCCTTCAAGAAAAGGGCGGAGAGAATCACCGTCGGAAACTTGCCCTTTTTTGTGGACGACGCCGCCGTCATCGAGGCCCTCAAGCCCTACGGTGACGTGACTTCCATCGTTCCCATCCGGCTGAGAGCCGGAAGGTATACCTTCACGGATGGCCGACGCGAGGCATTCATCCTCCTTAAGGAGGGCATTGCCTTGGAAAAGATCCCGACCCGCGTCGTCATCCGAAATAAAGGTAACGTCCTGCCGGCGTTCATCTCATATGGAGTAAAGTGCTCCAGATGCGGCCGACAGGGTCATCGTAGGGCCAACTGCCCCATCATTCCTGGGAGAGCCTCCAACAACGGCCAGCCACAACCGGTACCCCATCCACCTGGTGCATCGTCCACCGTGTCTCGGCAGCCGAACCGTCCAACATCAACGGCTCCAGCTCCGTCACCAAAGCGCCTTGCGCCTCAGACAACAGCTTCCGGCACTTCTGCCGCCCTGCCTACCAGAACATCTTCAGACCCCGTGGCTCCTCCTTCTGAGCCCATGGAGGTTTGCGGCGCTCCTCCCGTGGCCCGAGCTGTGCCCTGTCCATCATCCGCACCTCGGCCATCTCCAACAGCACCCCCGGCTTACCTGTGGAGGAGGCGCCTCCTGCCCCTCCACCTGTGACCCCTGCTCCGTCCCTGCAGGCACCTGAGGGTCCCGTAGGCCCTCGCCCAGCGATGACATATCATCCTGAGCCGACGCCTCCCGCTCGGCCTGACTTCGCAGCTCCGCGAGACCCTCTGCCCGCCCAGAAGACCCTCGGACGTGGAGATGTCCATCGTGGAGGAGACCTCTGCGTCCTCCACGTCAGCAGCAAAGAACGCAACAATAATCGACCTTCGATGAGTTCATCGAGAGGCACCCCAGCGTTTCCTTTGCTGGGACGGACGCCCTTTGTCTTGGGCGGGAGGAGGCCCTGGACCTCCTCTCCTCGAGGACCAAGGCGCAGAGGAATGGACCCCTCCTGTCGCCTCCGCAGTGCGACGCCCTCGCCGGCCTGATCAGGCAAATCTTA